AAGATTATTTATTTATTTTTTAATAAATTTTATTGTATTTTACCATTGAGATATTTTGTGCGAATAAATTTCTGTAAGCCACAAAATCAAAGTAAATTCCTTTTGGTAAACTTATACATGTTATTTTAAAAATGTCATCTTCATGAAAAAAAGAAACCCACAATTCACCAAAAATGTATACAAAAACAAAAACAAAAAAAATGGGTCGTCTCATTGGATAAAATGATAATCAGTATGACAATTCCACATGCAAAAAGACGTCAAGTGAAGAGAGTATACAAAATATTAGGTACAAGTGCAAGCTCACTCGCATCAGCCCCTCTTACAAATGCGATCCATCAAATGTTGGAAGCTTCGTGGTATGTACAACCCTACACCGTTCTCTCGCTCCTTACATTCTTTACAACCCTGTTGTACCTTCACTAAAATTCTATAGTACACAAAAAATGAAAAAAATCGGCAACAATCGGTAGATACATCGTAAGAAGACACTTAACGAAAAAAAAAAAAAAAACTCTTAAGCTATACACGCCAATTAAAAATATTTTCAAACATCGTATGCAAACAATAAACAAACAAACAAAAAAAATAAACAAAATAGTCAACATTGCAGACCATCCGATTTTCCAACAGATCTCCCAAAAAGGTCACGTCCTCGAGAGCCCCCATAATCACGAGTCATTTGTCCCAATCAAAACGTCCGGTAGCCCGAGAACTCCCCCCCCCCCCGCCATCTCCCGATCCTCCTTAATCAAATTTTCGAAATTATTAACGCGCTGCGCCCGACAGCTCGGTCCTACACACCAACACGCGTCCCTACCGATCGATACACCTATATTTGTGTGCATATACTGCACACCAACACGGTCTGAGGCTCGCTCGCGCCCCGCGTACATACACACATCTCTCCATGCGTGTGTCCCTTCTCTCGCGTGACACATAGAGAATTACGGGATTTACGGGACTGTCGAAAATAGCACTGGTGCTATGGGATGGATGTGTGTGTGTGCGTGTGTATGGTATGCAAGTACGGCTGTGCAGCGCGAAAGTGGAAAATCATTATATTATGTGTGTGACGCCGGCTGGCGTCGCCGGGTCAGGACGGCGTGATTAATTGACGAGATGCGCCGCTATTTCAAGTGTGCACTCGGCATAGGTAGGAATAGGTGGGTATACATATTATAAGTGTGTGTGTGTGTATAGAAGCAGGCCAAGCAACGTGGAGGGAGCGAGCGCTCGTTTTGCAGTCGCCTTATTAAAAGTGCATCGGCCCGACGATTTTGCTGCTCCCCGAGGGCTCTGTCTTTGCGTGTGTATGCTCCGACGACGATGTATATATATATAGTATTGCCGGGGCACTAGGGGACACGAGGAGTCGACCGATGGCGCCATCGCTGGGGATCGGAGCGAACGCGGGGGCTTTTGCTCGCGGCTTCGTCGATAATGGAGAAGTTTTTTTTTTCTTTTTCTTTGGAAGGTGTTTGTTTTTTTTTTTTTTTTTTTTTTTTTTTTTTTAATATAAATATTGTAGCGGTACGGATACGGGTAAAATCAGCTTCATTGCTGAGGAAAACAAAAAAAAAAAAATGTTTTTCCACCCAAAATGAATCGCTTGAGTGCAGTAAACGCCCGAATAATTAATCGTTAATGTGTCCAAGAGACGTGTATTTTAGGTAACATGTATAGAATATCATTTTTGCGTCGTCCACTCGATCGTTGTTAAATTTGAATTTTTATATTGTTTTTACGTGTATAACCCATGATTGCAACAAAGTGTAAATTTCGCATAGTTTTAAGCTAAAACCCAAATCATCGTTAATCGCATCATTTGGAGCAGTATAGAAATAAAGCATATTGAATACTGGCTGTGCAGTAAAGTATACATTAAACCAATGAAAATATGTGAAGGTGAAACTATTCGACCCTTCATTAAATATGAGGATATGTATAACTACGCCATACGAAGCAAAAAGTATAAATAAATGGTAAAAACAATTTTTAATAATAATAATAAAAAAAGGTTTCCAATGGAAAAGGAGACGTGCGACCCTTCGCACTTGTAAGATATTCTTCCCATGCAGCGGCGACTTCCACGAGAGGCCCTTGACTCATTAACGCTATTCTCTCCCTCCCTTCCACCCTCATTATAATCCTCGAAGCGCGTGCACTTTTGCCCAATTAAACGCTATACGTTGTATATGGAAATAAAGGGGGAAAACAAAAGAAAAAAAAAAGAAAAAAACACGGAACCACAAAATGTATTTAATGACAAAGAACGCCATCAGGGTGCGCCAGCGTGTGGGTTCGCCCCGTCTTTTGCCACTCGTACCCCATTCAACTCTCGTATACTGTTGTGTTTGGACCGTGTGCCACCCACTGCAGACGCGTATACACGCTTCCTCGCACCCTTTGTACGTAGGTACTTGTATCGAGTGGAGCTATATATATATATAGCGTAATGATTATCCGTGTACCGCGCACATCGTTGTGCCGTCGTATAGTTGATGAGCACACGAGAGTGCCATCGACGTCGAGCAAATGGGATAGTGTACCTATATATTTTCAATCCAACGTCTCCTCGCGTGTCTGCAAAATCTCAAAAACGTCCTTTCCTTTCGTTTTAAATTACCATTACTTCAATTGCCTGCAATAAAAGGCTGAAAAATAAGATATCTTACTCGTTTCCGATTGAAAATCAAATTTGAATCTCTGGACAAAGTATGGTATGTGCAGCTCGCACCTATACACTTTGAGAATCGTTGGAGGAAAAAAAAAAAAAAAAAAAACTCGTGAAGTACCACTTTAAGCGCTTGACAAGGACCAAGACCGCGCCTCTCCCCCGAACTTTTCTCTCGGGTATACTCTGTCGGCTCGTAACTCTTTCTCAAAGTATGTATATACCTATACCCATCGCGTATTATCACTCATCTCTCGGTACCTCTGAAAAAAGCCACTCCCTCTTAATCCTTCGCCACACGCACACGCCCTCTCTCTCTCTCTTTCTATATCCTGTTTTTTCCACTTGAAAGATACTAGTACTTTTACTCCATCTCTCTCTCTCTCTGGTCTTCGGTTCACGCCTTTCTTTTTCCACGAGCGTTTTCCCCTCGAGATGTGCTCATTTCCTTCCCCCCCTTCCGCTCGCCTCTCCTATATACATATATATGTCAAGTCTACTGGAAAAGCCTCGCTTCGGATGATTTAATAAGCGAAATGGAGTTCGACTTCCCTCGAGGTTGATTTTCGAAGCTGATTTACCCTTCGCGGAAATGATGATTTTTTGTAAAGGTTTTTTCGTCGCATCGAATGAGAAAAATGCGTATTTAAGTGTATAGCGCGGAAAAAATGAAAAGTCCATGCCATTTTTTTTTTTTTTTTTTCCAACAAACGAATGATTCGTGAAAAAATCCGTTCTCGCGTGGTATGTTCAGATGAAAGTAAAAATAAGGGGCCATAAGCTTATTATTCACACGATTCAAAGAAAGTAAGCTGCATAGAGAAAAACATGGAGTATATATAAGTGTTCCTCGAGGGACGATTTTATAGCCCCCAAATGACGAAGCTCTCGGTCCTCTGTAAATCTGTTGATGCACACGCATCACGTACCACTTTTGTCTCTTCCACGGATGACTTTCTCCCTCGCTCGCGTGTCGTTTTACGGCCCATCGAGAAAATCGCACCTGTCAGTGTGAGCATACGAGTAGGAACATATTTATATTATTATATACGATGGGGTGTATAGGGGTAAGCACCATTGGCTCTCTGAACTTTGACTACTTCGTGGTGAAAAGAGAGGTGGGCGTGGGTTTTCGAGCAAAGGAGATGCTGGTTTTATTGTTTATGCTTCGCGGGATTGGCGGCGATGACCAAGGAAAAGGGAGGCCGATTTGGTTTTCGAATAAGACAAAAAGTCCATTTGGGAACAAGTATAGTATGAGACATGTTTGCTTCCTCTCATTTTTCCAACTTCTCGGAATACAGGCAAACGATTGAACTTTGGTGTAAACTCTTGTGATGAATCTGGAAAGTAATAACTTTTGCAAATCATTTGCGGTTCAACTTTCACTCGTTGGATCATCAATGCGTACAGTATACATTATGCACGACAAAGTTTGAAAAAAGAAAAAAAAAAAAATGCAAATATTTTTAAAAATATTTAAAAGTAAAAAAGTTCTGTAAAGAAATAATGCATTTAATAACAGGGGGGAAAAAAATTGCGTGAACATCCGTCCATGTACATAAAAACCCCTGCCCCCGTACACGTTCGAATGTCATTACTTCGTAAACTAAATATAAATTATTTGAAAATTAATGCGAAAAAGCCCGTGGCAACCGTGTGAGGGGTCAGATGGCGGAACTACCCGTAATCGATTTAAATATACAACGCACCGCACCCCCCCCCCCCCCCCCCGTGCCGGCAAAGACCGCTGCAGGCTGCGTCGCAAAATACGCGACTCCGAGGGCATCGGCATCAAGCCCCGGCCAAACGAATCAGTACTCCTCCCCCAGTTGTTAGACCCACCCCTGAAATTTACCCCTTGGAAAAAAAAACTTATAATAAGAAAGTAAAAAAAAAAAAAAGGAAATCAACCCCTCGTACTTTACCCCCTTACGCACCAGTCAGAAACAGAGCATAGCCCGCAGCCTAGCGACGAGTCCCGCGTCTGAAATGTACACCTATATATATAGTTTTCCCTGTGCGTGGTGCGCAGTAGATATTACATACGTGCAGGTATATACGCTTATTTATAAGAGCCCCCTGCATGACGACGACGTTAAAGTGCCGGCAACGTGATACATACGTGTATATATATATATATATATATATATATATATATATAAATGTGCTGTCATGTCAAACGTTGCAGGTGTATAGGAGAGTACATGGGTTATTTCACAAAAAATCCAATGCCTGCAATTTTACTTTTTAAAGCGAAGTTTTTTTTCAACATTGCGTCTCTCATTTAATTGCATTATCTAGTAGGGGTACGCTCTCAAAGCAGGATAATGGCTAAATAAGAGTCCTATTGCGTTGCCATTAAAATCACGACAAATTCTTTTGATTCGCATTTTTATGATTTAGCACCCGCACCTAATCGACATTCTGAAACTGCAGTTGACCATATTGTTACTTCACAGCTACGTGAGCATTTGGGGTTGCAAAACAAATTTAAATATGTACTCGCGATGGCCGTTTCGGAATGCAAAACGGTGTCTTTACAATGAAGTGTAAAAAAATATCCATTCATTTGTGATGGTAAAATATCCAAAATGCAACTTAATTTCACCTTGTTTTCTTTTTCTCTTGTACCAAGGGAAAAAAAAAAAAAAAAGATAAATAAATAAAACAACAACAAAGTTTTTGTTAAAAGATCCATATACACGTGTGCGCGCGCCGTCGCCACACACCACCTCTCAAGTGCCTGCAGCCTCAAGAAGGAGGTAGGGAGGTACGATAGGGATATATCCAACGCGTGTTGGATACATGCAGTAAGTACTGTGCAGAGCGAGCGAGTGGCCTCGCGGTAGTCGTGGCCCGGCCGTGCTCAGGTGCGTGTGCCTCGCGCGACGCGCTCCTCGTCCTTTTTTTTGGTTCTTCTATTGGTGTTGTATGTTTTTTGCCGCCAACGAGTGTCTTTCATGTGATTCGTGACGTATTTCTATCGGGGGACGATAAAGTGTTTGTGTCATGTGCCACAGTATCACTGAGAATTGAAAAGAAAAAAAAAAAAAAAAAAAAAAAAAAAAAAAAAAAAAAAAAAAAA